AATGCAAACGTAATCTTATTTCAGTCTGACACGTCAGCCATCCCGAATCCAAATTCTCAACACCATCTGGCAAGTAAATACAAAGAAGAGTAATTATTATACATATTTTTAAACAATCCAGTAAGTACAATACACACTGACAATTCTAGTTCACATTCAGATTTTAATACATTCAGGTTATGTCACTGGTACTTCTCTCCAAAGCAAATATATATGCAGTCTTAAATTTATCATTGAAAAAGAACTTTTATATGAAGAGGGGGAAAAAGTTAAATGAATGTTAACAATAGCCATAGTTTAACTTAAGTAAATAAAAATATTCTAATTAAATCCATTATCGAAATAATACACATTCATTTCAGAAAGAATCCATGTTTCAAGATGACTTCTAACCTACATTTGTTCCATTGGGAATTACTATTACACTTCCAAATACTTCACATGAGGTTATTTATTCAGCTGAAACTAATTATACGACTAGTGCTAGGGACTGAAATATGAGATGGTAAAAATAAAACTGTGAGTCAATTCTGTATTCTCACATTTATACATTCTGCCGTAAATTTCACAACTGTGATAATACTGTATTAGCACTGTTTAACTTGAAGTTTCCTACTAACATAGGTAACACATTTTTCAAAGTACTACTGAACTATCAACTGTTTTGGACCTAAGTTTTTCAATAGGACTTAAAATATATATCAAGAAACATTTATCTTTAGAAATGTAACTTTAAAAATGTTTAGTAATTAGCAAATCTATACTAATAAAAGGGTAATATGCTAATTAGACCGTGAGACCTTCTGGACGTCCTTCCAGACAAAGCCATGGCGGCGGGCCGAGGCAGAGGCGGCTGGGGCCATCAGGCCAGGAGGGGAGGGCAGTTGGGGGGGATCAGGCTGCCAGGGGGAGGGGGCAGTTGGGGGTGAGCAGGCCAGCAGGCAGAGTGGTTAGGGGCGATCAAGCAGGCAGGCAAGTGAGCGGTTAGGAGCAATGGTCCCGGATTGCGAGGGGGTTGTCCGAGTGCCGGTTTAGACCCTGTGGGGTCCCAGATTGGAGAGGATGCAGGCTGGGCTGAGGGACGAATTTTGTGCACCAGGCCACTAGTTTTAAAAATAAAAAGAAACCACAGGAGTGGGTGGGGAGAGGTCAATGAGGGGAAAAGGAGACATATATAATACTTTCAACAATAAAGAATTTAATTAAAAGAAGAAATATTTGGGTAGAAATAAAAAAATAAAAAGAAACCACCATTATTTCTTAATTTTAAACTATTTCCAGGAATAGACAAAGTTGGAGAAATGACTTTGCATCCTAAAAGCTAATAGCCCACTGTACACAATAAGCATCTGTAGATTCAAGTAGCAGACCTTCCTCACACACCACGCACGTCTATGAAAAAAAAATGTTTTCCTTAAGTGGCAGTCCTGACCAACTTTAAAATCATTTTTCGTGAGAATTTTCAGCTGAAAATATTCAAGAACACCCAAATTGTAATATATGTATTTTTCTAATATTCATTGCAAATTGATTTTTTTAAAATTAAATTCAAAATATTGTGGCACGTGGGGATGGTTTCCGTTTTGGATGCGTGGCTGTTAACTGGCTTAAGCTGAATTTAGAACAATAAAAATTTCCATGCAGTTATAACCATATGTAGTAATTAACACACAACAGCTGAAAAAAACCTATCCTATCTAATAATAGACAAACATGGTAATTGACCGTACCTTCGCTACACCTCCCATGGCTAATCAGCATGATATGCAAATTAACTGCCAACAAAGATGGCGGCTAATTTGCATACTACGGGCAGGACAGCGCAGCTGGCAGCATGAGAGCCGCCATCCAGGCCCCCGTGTGCGACCCCAGAAGCCGCCTGCCTGCCGCCCAGAAGCTGGTGATGGGGGTGGGGGGGAGATGGGGGTTCCCTGCCCAGGCCTGACGCCTGGGCCAGAGGCGTCAGGCCTGGGAGGAGGGAGGAGCTGGCAATCGGAGGGGTCTGAGGTTCCCCTGCCCAGGCCTGATGCCTCGGCAAGAGGCATCAGGCCTGGGCGAGGGGCCAAGCTGGCGATCAGAGCGAGATGGGGGTCCCCTGCCCAGGCCTGAAACCTCTGGCAGAGGCGTCAGGCCTGGGCAAGGGGCCGATCCGGCAATCAGAGGGTGATGGGGGTCCCCTGCCCAGGCCTGACACCTCTGGC